AATATGTCAAAATTGCGAAAATATGCAAGTAATTTTGTGGTTGAAAAATCGTAAATTTTTTTTCTTTTATAACTAAGTTTTGAAAATTTGGTACAAGGTTTTCCATACATTTTTCTTCAATTATCTGTATAAAAAAACTCTACCGGATTCAGACAAAAAATTTTTATGAGTGTTTGAAATTTAATTTTTTACAAAACCGCGTTAAATAACGGTTTAGCCTCAAACGATTTTTAATATTTGTTGTTATTCAAATAGTATAAGTCGTAAATACTTGAAAATTTTACCAGTTATTTAGATTACCATTTTCTTTACGTGATTTGATTTTCAAAATATTTTGACTTTTTTCGTGCTATTTATAGACATTTGAAATAATCATTTTTTTAATTTTTTTTTTTATAAATGTTAATAAGACCATGTTAACCTAACCATTGTATTAAATTTTAAATTATTTTAACTGAGTGAAACAATTATTATCGACAATAATTAAAAAAAAAAAAAAAACATTCACCATTGTGATATCAATAAATTCATCGCTCCGCTAACACGCTCGCAAATATTTTGAAAATGTATTAAGAGGACGCCACACACCCGAAATATTTTACCGAAAATACGTTTCACGCGGGATCAGTGTTTGAAGCGTGTGGTAATATAATGGATACCAAATTTTCACACTATATAGGTCAAAAGTTTATCTATGTCATAGCGTCGTTTTTTTTTTTTTTAACTTAACTCAATATTTTTAAATTTAATTTTGAAAAAACATAAAAAAAACAAATTTTCAAAACCTTTTTAAAGGTAGAACTAATAAGATATCGAAAAAAAAAACGACGCTATGACACAGGTAAACTTCTGATCTATACTGTGTGAAAATTTGGTGTTGATACTATTACCACACGCTTCAAACACTGAGCTCGCATGAAACGTGTTTTTCTTTCAACATTTTATAAAACCGTAGTTTCGACTTTTCGTCGTCTACAGCAGTGCTGCAACAACCCGTGGCGTTTTGGTGAACAAGATTTCCCCCACCCCCATACATACATAAACATATCGTTATCGGTCCGGTGCCCGACGTCTGGGGTTCCGTCGGCGATTCTAAGAATAGAGTTTTAACACTATTTCAGACTATTAATAAAAATAATAATAACAGAATTATTGATATAGACAAATTCTACGATTATTATCTATGGTGTTTGATATAAATTAGATAATCAATTAAACTGTTCAGTCTGTCATTAGCTTATCGTATAAGTATTGAGTCTTGTGAATTTGTGATTTTGATTTATAAAATGTAAAGTGTTTTTCAAGAGTCAAGAACGTTATTATAATATTTGCGATGTCTCCAAAAAAAAATAGAACTATTAAAAGATCTACGAGAAGAGTAACTTTAAGTACTCGTATGAAAAAAGTTCGTGGGGGCAATCAACAAAACCTACAGTAAGTATATAATAATATTATATTATATAGTATATACTATACCAATAATAAATATCTAATGTACCTAAAAAATTATACATTTTTTAACTACAAAATAATTTGCAAATATTCGTGATTTTGACGAATTTGTCAATAATTGAACTTCAAACGCATATGAAAAAAAGCGGGTAAGTGGATGTCGCTCTACTGTATATTAGGGAGTGGGGTGGATCTCGGTCATAGAGTAGGTCACTATAATGTGTTTGTTAAATTTGAATGCAATGATAGTTATTATTGTATACGAAAAACGATTCTGAACGGAGATGATTTCTCTTTCAGTCAGAGTTTTTTTTACAAATATTTGAAGAAAAATGAATGGAGAACCTTGTACCAAATTTTCAAAACTTAGTTATGAAAGAAAAAATTTTTACGATTTTTCATCCACAAAATTACTTGCAAATTTTCGCAATTTTGACATATTTCGTATAAATTCGAACTTTACGCACTTATAAAAAAAAATTGTGACCAACGATTTTGGATTTTTTTTTTATGATTTTAAGAACAACTTATAAGAATCCTTGTATTAAATTTTAAAGATTTTCTGGCCGGCCAAAAAAATTTTATCGTTATTTTAAAAAAAATACTAAAAAAAATTAAAAATTTAATTCAAAATACTTTGAAAATTTAACAGTGTATAGAAAACACTAACATAAACATTTGGTGAAAATTTCAAGTATTTACAGTGATTAATTTTTGAATTACAACAATATAAAAAAATCGATTTGGTCGAAAAATGGTGTTGCGTAAAAATTCCCGTTTTTCTGTCACATTTTTTTTGTTTTTCTCGATTTTTTTTAAAACTGTTGGAAAATGTTTACTCTTCACCTCTATAATGCACCAAGGATATTCACTTTGCCATCGGAAACCACCCCTGAAGTTGATTTTTCCATATTTTGTCAATTTATGAACTTTAAATGCTTAGAAAAAAAAAACTGTGACTAAGGATTTTTAATATTTTTCATTGTAACAATAAATTAGGAGCATTGTATTAAATTGTCTAGCTTTTTTACCTAACAAATGAAATTGTATAGACATCTATAGAACAAAAACCTAAAAAAAATTGGAAACTGAAAATGTTCGTAAACAGCTCAAGATAAATCAAAATATTTTTAAGATGTTATGGTGTATAGAAAATGTTGGTTTTGAGAAAAAATTCGCGTTTTTCCTTAATTTTTCACGGCGCTTTTGAAAACTATACTGGGGAATTTTTACTCTTGACCTCCCCCCTCCCCCCAAGTTCCAACTGGATTCACTTTGCTATCAGAAAAGGTACTGCTAAAGAAAATCGAAACATTTTTACTGCTCTAAAAGGTGGTGACAGACAAAAAATAAAAAAAAAAAACATTCATCATTGTAAATTTGTAAAATCAATAGGTACATTCAAAAATTATCAAAATGCATAGGCACAATATTTTATTTCGACTAGTAATTCTGGACACAGACACAAAAAATATCAATATAATATTCATTACTCCGTTCATCGTAAAATTCTAAAATGTTATGTTCATTATGTTGTATAGAATTAAAAATAAAAATCATCTATTAGAAACACCAGAACCAATGAACTTAGGTATATCTGATACTTCTGTTATGACTGATCAACCAGCTATTAATGTTGACTGCATAATACAATCGCAGTTGAAAACTTGTGGCTTTTCGCTTGTCAGTACTCCACGCAAAGATATAAATGCTGATGCAAATAGTTCAGAAGTGGAATTGTTTGGTATATCAGATCCCAATATTTCTGCCATTACTAACACTGCTTTACCTATCGAGTATGAAGATTCAAGAGAAGACGATACTATTATTACAATGTACTTATATATTATTATTATTATCATATACTACCTATACTTACGACTGTACATACTTGTTCAAATATGTTATAACTTATAAGCGATTTTAAATATTTCTTAGGTCACTCGAAGGTCGTAGGATTGTTGATATACAACATATATTCGCACAAATTCAACAGAGTAAACATGACAAATTTGACTGTTCATTCATTGACATGGAATTTCAGAAAGAAATTCGTAAAGGATTCAATTCAATATTTCAATTTAAGTGCAAAATGTGTGGTATAAAATCTTCAATTAATTCGGAAAATATTAATGAACCCAAGTACTTAGGAATTAACCTTGCAGTTATTAATGGTACTTTGGCTGTCGGTATGTATTTTAGAATTCTATAATAAATAAAATATTTACTTTATACCTGTATATTTTATAGTTTAGAGGTTAGGTTAGGTCAGTGGCGTATTTTGGATAATTTTTTTTTTTTTTTTTTGGAAGGGGGGTGTCTTACATTTTAGGGAACCCCTAAAACCCGTTTTTAGAATTATTTACTGATAAAAAAGACACATCCCCCTCAGAAAAAAAATAAAAATATGCCACTTATAGGTAGGTAATACCTATTAGGTATATAGACATTTTTTTAAAATGTATTTTATATTATTTCCCTTTATGTTTATACAGGAATAGGTCAAACTCAACTTAGTGAATTTTGCGCCTCAGTAGAAATTCCTTCGTTATCGTCAACCTCATACTTAAAAAAAATTATCTACTGTGAGCGATGCTGTTAATGACGCTCTTATCGAGGAGTTGAAAAAAGCTGGCGAAGAAGAGCGACGAATAGCTATAGAAAGCGGAAATGTTGATGAGCAAGGAATCCCTATGTGCACTGTTATTGCGGATGGACAATGGTCCAAAAGAAGTTATAAGACGAAGTTCAATGCATTTTCTGGAGCTGTAAGATATATTTTAATTGTTATCATACAAAAGTGAAATAATAATTTTATTTTAATGTAGGCCGCAATCATTGGTTTAAAAACAAAAAAAGGTTCTGTTTGTTGGTGTACGAAATCGTTACTGTTGTGTTTGCCAACGAGCTAATGTTGAAAAAGAAAAACCCCCTAGCCATTTATGTTTTCTGAATTGGAAAAAAACATCGACTGCAATGGAAGCCGATTCTATTTTAGATGGGTTTACACATAGCCTCAGTATGCATGGTCTAAAATACAACAAACTTATCGGTAAATAATTTACTAATTAAATTCATTTATTTCATTTATTAATTATTAATATATTTAAAAAATTACATTTGATTTCAATTGTTTATAATATTAAATTAGGTGATGGTGACAGTAGTGTAACCAAAAGGTTAAACGATGTGTTACCTTACGGAAGCGATTTTAAAGTTAAAAAAATTGAATGTCGGAATCACCTACTAAGAAATTACTGCACCAAACTGATGGCACTCACGAAACGAACCGACTACCCAATAACTGTCAGAAAATGCATTGTTAAAAATATTGTACGTTTTCGTTCTGACATAACAAAAGCAACAGATTATCATTTAAATAACCGCGGTTCATCTATTCAACAAAAAATTGCAGGTATTTTTAAGAATATTATGATTGATTATAATAGGTGTATGATGACTGTTACTATTATAATTATTAAAAATTGAAAAGATAATATTATGTTATACACCTATCTCAAAATATTTAGAACATTTTATTAAATTTTCGTATAAATAGAAAGAAATCACTTAATAAAATAAATAATCTATGAAAATTATAAAAATAAAATTATATGATTAGTAACAGTTACCTTAAAACAAATAACGCTATCGATCATAGGACAATATAGGTAAATATGTATTATTATTATTTATTATATTACTTATTTTTAGAACTAAGACGAGATATATCAAACAGTGTTTATCACAGACTTGGTGAACACAAGAACTGTGCTCAATATTTTTATTCTGGTCCGAAATTGGGTGAAATGAATCTTGTTCCTGATGCTGAGAAAGCAGGAATGATGGGACATATTCGGAACATAGTGTACAGACTATCAGTTAATGCAGATAGCCTTATAGAAAATGTAGACAATAACCCATGCGAGCAATTAAATAGCTTGATTAATAAACATGTTGGAGGCAAAAGAATTAATTTCACACAAAAAAAATAACTACACTACTAGAGTCGAGGCAGCTGTAGTGGCATTTAATTCAAAAAACTATTTACGAGTTGTACATAAAAAAAATAGTTTTCAAAAGCCCAGGTATAAATTTAAAACGTATTTATTGTTTTAATTATTAATACAATTAATTATAATTTAATTTAATATATTTAGGTATGTTTGCTAAACGATATTTAAAAAACATTGACAGAATTAGAAAAAATACAACTATAGTAAGGAAACGATTATTTGAAAGTGGCAAAAAACGATCTAAATTAACTACAACTCGATTTAGTGGACCGGATATGCACTATGGTTTAGCAGAACCCTTAGATGATATTCTTACCAAGAAAGAATTAAGTAGAAATCAAAATTTATTTTTTAAAAAATTGGAAAAAGTTGATCGAAAAGAACTTGAATGTACTACAAAAGAACAAAGTCATAGCCAAGACTGGTACAATGAAAGAAGGAAGAGGCTTACTGCATCAAATTTCGGTGACATATGTAAAATGCGAGAGAATACAAGTTGCCGAAAAAAAGTATTGAGTCTTCTTTATGGGTCAAATATTACATCGAGAGAAATTTCTTATGGTATTGAAATGGAACCTCAAGGTAGAGCTCAATTCGAAGTTTTAAGTGGAAAGACTGTTGAGTTATGTGGATTATTTGCCGATAAAGAATTTCCTTTTTTAGCAGCAAGTCCTGGTAATTATTAGTATGCGTTTTTGGTACCTACATATATTTAAAAAAGTCATTAAATGTATTACATTACATTTTATTATTCAGATGGTTTGGTTGGAGAAAATGGAATAGTAGAAATAAAATGTCCATTTGTGGCAATAAATACCTTAAACGCCGTTGACGCTGTGAAAAATAAACTAGTAAGTATTTTTTGTTTACGTAATTGAATTATTATTGTATTAATAAGCCAATATAATATGCTTCTTTTTAGTTAAAATACTGCAACATCACGAATGACAACAGAATTGAACTTAAACGCGAGCATAAATATTATTACCAAGTTATGGGACAAATGCGAATAACAAATCGCAGACTGTGTTACTTTGTAGTGTATACCCCTAATTGGACAAGTATACAGGAAATTCAATATGACGAAGTATTTTGGAACACAAAAATGGCCGAAAAACTTAAAAGGTAAAAATTAATTTTATTAGTAGGTAACATAGTTATTAATTAGATTACAACAAATTGTAAAATTATTATTTTTTAGGTTTTACATGGAATGTTTATTACCAGAAATTGTCGACCCACTTTATGGTAGACGCTTCGAAATCACGGATATTAGAGAACCCGAATATATAAAGGAGGCACAAAGAAAAAAATTAAAATAGTAATAATATTCTAGGTATATCTATTGTACTCAGTACCTATGTGTATCAAATTATATTAAAGTTCATAATATTATTATAATGTTGTTTTTATATTTCAAATGTTGTTGAGTGCTAAAATATAATAATCCACAACTATTTATTATTATTAAAAAAGAAACACAAAAAGCGGGTAAGTGGATGTTTTAGATTCTAAACGGAGTGATGAATGTATTGATTTTACAATGATGTGTGTGTTAGATTCTGAACGGAGTGATGAATGTATTGATTTTACAATGATGTGTGTTTTTTTTTTTTTTTGTGTCTGTGTACAGCATAACTAGTCGAAAAAATGCTTCAATTTCAAACTTCAGGGGTGGTTTCCGATGGCAAAGTGAATATCCTTGGTGCATTATAGAGGTGAAAAGTTAAAATTTTCCAACAGTTTTCAAAAAAATCGAGAAAAACAAAAAAAAAGTGAAAGAAAAACGGGAATTTTTACGCAAAACCAGTTTTCGACCAAATCGATTTTTTTATATTGTTGTAATTCAAAAACTAATCACTGTAAATACTTGAAATTTTCACCAAATGTTTATGTTAGTATTCTATATACACGGTTAAATTTTCAAAGTGTTTTGACTTTTTTTGAGCTATTCATAGACAATTCTTTATGATTCTACATTTTGGGAATCTAAAATGATTCATAAACTTAAAGCGTAAGTGAAATATATATATATAATTAATAATTACAATTAAGACTTATATTAAAAATAATACTGTAACATAAAATATTTTTAATGTTATTTGTTTTATATTTTATTTACAATGTTTACTATCGGAAATAGTACAACCACTTTACCCAACTAGAATGCTAAAAAGTGATATACGAGAACGAGAGAAAGCCAAGTAATATAACTAGTAGTGTGGTACCTACATATAAAGTTTTATAAATAAAAATATGAAATATCTAACTTTATTAGTTATTACTTGCATTATAAACTGTATCTAATTATTCTAATTATATTTCCATAACCAATTTATTTCCTTTCAGAAAAATTTTGTTTTATTGTATTGGTATCAATATGCGCATATTAAAGTAAACAAGAGTTTTATTTATTAATTACAAACTAATAAATATATTATTGAATACACGCGTAATTCATAATATCTTTGTTATTACTTATTAGTTATTAGTAAATCGTAGGTTTCAAATGATTGTAAGTAAGATAGGTAGAAAAGTAGAACCTTATAAAAAATAGATGACTGATGTGTGAAAAGTGTATAATGTTTAGAAATACGCAAAAAATGTAATTTAAAAAATATACCTATGAGGTAGCGGTATAACGTAAAATAATATTAAATTCAATTAATTAACCTACAATATCATAATATTTAGATATTTAGGTAATATTAGTTTAGAATACAGTTATAATGTTATATATTAGATATTAAATACATTTTTTATGAAGTAAGTATTTAATAATGCAATAAATACGAGCCGCGTATAGGTACGCATGAATACTAAAAATATTACGGCGGCATAATATACGTGTTACGTGTATGCATTTTATACTTACGCGATCCGTCAAAGACGAAGGTTGAGAAAATAATAAACGTCGCTCCCGAATGAGCAAAATCGTCGGCCAGCCACCGACTGTGAGTAGTGGGCGTGGTTTAAACGCCGCGCGCTTGCGGATCATGAAAACACCTAACAGCGCGTTCTCTCGGCCGTTGTATACGTTTTGCTTTCGGTGTAGCGTCCTCTTAATAATGAATAATACCATGTATAATACGATATATGTATAATATATTCACACGTATTGTAATTTACATCACGATGTGTTACAGGTATTATTATTTAATTTAATATATTTATTGTTATTTTTTATTTTAGATTCCAAGTGAGGCAAGAGATATGTGTGCTTCACCATATACTGGAATTGAAAGAGAAACATCCACAGACACAAGCGATGTTTTTATGTCAGAGGAGGATACACTTGATCCAAGTGAAACACAAACATTTCCACAACAACAACAATTTGTATCTGCAAATAACAATGAGTTCACTTGCCAAAGTCCAGTTCAGCCTCCAAAAGGAAAAAAACGAAAAATTTTAGCTAATACAGACTCCAGAATTGATGAAGCATTTGATATTTTAAAGAAATCTGCTTCGAACATCGAATTAAGTCAACAACCACCCGATGAGTGTACTACATATGGAACTCATATAGGAAACAAACTTCGAAATTACACTCCAAAAACAATATCATTTGTTCAGTATTATTTCAACAATATACTTTTTGAGGTAGATATGGGAAAATTTGATGGGAACGTAAGCAATATCAGTTCATCTTTACCGATATTTGATGGTAATCCACCTCCAACAACACATACTTCAAGTCAAACTTCTTCTCCTCATATTATTTATCAAAATTTGCCACAAGCACAACAATCTACATCAAACTCAGTTAATTTCAATCCAATATATTAAACATCAGATGGGTCCTCTTTAGAATCAACATACCTAGGTTAGGTATGTTATATTCCTTATATAATACTTTTATTAATTTTAATGAAAAAGTTTTATATTCTTTGTTTTTATTTTAATTTTGACGAAATAGTATATTTTGTTTTTTATTTTTTAATTTTGACGAAAAAGTATGTCTTGTTTTTTATGTTTTAATTTTGACGAAAACGGAAAAAGTATGTTTTGTTTTTTAAATATTGTTTTAATTTGAATGAATAATAATAAATTGTGACGGTATGTTATTAATAAAAATTTACTGTTATTCATAAAACATTATTATTTATTACTTATGTATTACTTTTACATATTTTTTTAAAACTTCAACAAGTGCCATGCAGACTTCAGGAATTATACGTGAAATTATTTGTTTGGAAATGCCGAATAAATATTGTAAACTACTATATGAATTTCCGGTAGCAAGAAATCTCAGCGTAACGGCTAGCCTAACTGTTACCGTAATAGCTGGACGCATGTTTGTATCTTGTTTGATTATTTTTGGTCCGATGAGATTAATAATTTTTTCAAAATCGGCTGATGACATTCTTGTAAAATTTTGAAAATGGAAACTGTGTACATCAGATTTTATACTATTTAACAAATTAGCTCCTCTATTTTCATTATCGATGTAAAGTTTTGATCTCCAAAAGTGACTTTTTCGTCGAACTTTTTTTTCTTTGATTTTCATATTAAGTTCATGCATTACAATAAATGCTGCATTTGCAACTTGTAAATGATAACTCATAATTCAAAACTTTAAAAAAATTGTTAACACTGTATTTAAGCCAGGACACGTTTCGATACTGAAGTATGTTAACAACTGCATTCAGCTCTGGAATAGACCCGAACAGCTACGCATAGTATATTTTTAAACGTCACACTACAAAGTGTCCACACGAACGAACAGAATTCGTCCGAATGCTCATGCGTGCTCGTTCGTGTTCGAGTGAGCTCACTTCGAACGTCGCATTATTGTTCACTCGTGTGTACGCAGCTTTACAGTTAATTGTATTATTATTATGGTGCGAATGTTGTTGCATTTGCAACTTTTTTTTTACTTTTTCAGTTGCTAAGTAAGTTTAAAATGTGTGTCATGTAAGTACGAACTAAAAATCTAAAAACTTAAGTGCAATTTTCTGCGATATTTATTGAATTTACTCATTTATAAAAGTAAGTTACACAAACTATTGTCAAAATTCACATTTTTATTCTAATAATTAAACAAGTAGTTTTGAAAAAAATGATAATACAAGAAAAATTAGTAGCATTTAATTATAATAAAGATTAGATAAATTTGTATTTTGTATTTAACTTTTATAAACAATTTGTGTATTATTTTATTGGCGATATTATTGAACAATTATTAGGTATCTGTATTATGTATTTTATATTTAACTTTTGTAAACAATTTTTATATTAATTGATGATTATAGAATAATTTTTACTTGTATTATAATTTTGACAATAGTTTGTGTAACCTACTTTTATAAATGAGTAAATTCAATAAAAATCGCAGAAAATTGCTCTTAAAGTTTTTTTATGCAGCGGTAGACAGCGATTTTTTCGTGGTATTTATAAACGAAATAATATGTACTTATTATAGTTATACAGTCACACAAAAAAAATTATAATTATAAATTTTTATTTTATGTTGATCCTCCAAAATTTGCCGCCCCGTCAAACATCATAAAATTTGCTGCCCTGGGGCAATTGCCCCCCCCCTTTGCGCCCTGTTAAACACGGCTCTGGTTATGTGTAGTCGCATTTGGTATTAAGTCGATACTTGACATTATTTTATTACTGTGCGTGTACGTAAAAGTTGTATTCATAAATATTTTAAAATGTCTGAGAACAAAAAATGCAGAAAATATCCATTGAGTATTTGAAATTTGGTTTTATTGCATCTCCGACAAATGAAAAATTACCCTTGTGTCTTATTTGAATCGCTTTTTGTTAAAAGGGCACATGTTTCAACACATAAACTT